TGATCCTGTCCCCAGCCCACCCCCACAAGGTCTGTCCACACTGTGCCTGGAGCTGTCGCCTTTCCTCTGGAGCCGGAGCACCCCTTCAGAGCCACAGGCCGCCATCCACAGGCCGCCACCCTGGCCCTAAGATCCCCAGCACCTGTCCAGCCCAAACCCCACCCTTTTCCTCTCCGCCGGGTGCGGGTGTGGATTCCTGGGCAGTTTCCTCACTGGCCAGGAGGGGGCAGTAAAGACCCGGAGCCTGGGCCTGGCCGGGGGCTGGGGCCAAATCCAGGCGTCCAGGAGTGGACGGGGCTCCAGCTCGGCCCAGGGCCTGGAGCCCAGCCAGGCGGGGCCACACCTGGCAGACAGGTGTCGGGTGGCGCTGCTGGGTCGAGCAGCGTCAGAGACGCTCCCGCAGTGCCTGCCGCCCAGTCCTGTGCCACCCCCGGATGTGGCTTTGAGCACGGCCCACAGTCCCCCAGGACTGGGAGAGAAACATCTGGCCGGGCCACCCAGATGCTGCGGCCAGGGGCCCGCTGGTGTGAGCCTGGCCTGGGGGGTCCAGAAGACGAACGTTCGTGGGCACGCAGGGTGCCTTGCCCCCCACCCATCAGCCTCCTCTCCGCTGCGATTCCGCCCCCACGCCCGCGGGTTCAGGAACCCTGGAGACCAGCAACCAGGAGAGGCTTGTAGGGTGAGAGACCTGGCAGCAGGTCCCAAGCACCGGGGATGTACGTTTATTTGCGGGGCGAGGAAGGCCCCTCCTCACCGCTGGCCCTGTCCATGCCTGGGCCCGGGCTCCCGAGGCCACTCAGCGCTGGGCCTGCTGATGGACTACGGAAGGCAGGAGGAGCTGGTACCCCTTCGGCCGGCCTCGCTTCAGGGCCGTGTGTGTCTCCAAGCGGGGCAGGAAGGACTCCTGGAGGAGAAGGGAGGCCAGCTGGGCGCTGCCGAGCGCAGGGTAGGGGGCTCTGGGCAGGAGACAGGCTCCCGGGGCCCAGGGGGACTCTGCGCCTCAGCGCTAGGGGGCAGACACAACCCCATTTTACAGATGGGGAAACAAACGGGGAAGGCAGTGTGCAAGCGCAGAGCTGGGACCTGAACCAGGCAGCCCTGCTCCAGAGCCCACCCCTTGGCCAAGTGTGTAGCTGGCACCCCTGCCACCCACCAGGCAGGTGCGCCAGGTGGCCGGCGGCCCGCAGGCACTCACCAGTTTCTGGCTCCAGGAGCAGGGCGATTTGCCCGTCTGGTCGAGAATGCTGTGGCTGCCCAGGAGGGTTTTGCTGTCTCTCTGCTGCCTCTGGGCGGTGGCCCTGGCGATAAAGGGCCGGCTGCTGCTCATGGAGGTGTCCTCAGAGAGGTGGCTCTGCAGCTCCCGGATGGGCCTGAGGCGCACAGGAGCCTGTGAGCTGAATGGACCTCCACTCCCAGGTCCACCCATGGCTGGCAGGGCCCTCAAGGGCCCAGACCCTTGGCCTGCCCCCTGCTGGGCGGTGAGGTCTTCAGGGCGAGGAGGACAGTGCATGTGAACCCCAGCCCTCCCCTGAACCTCACAGGCCGGGGGAGTCCCAGCTGAATGGGGAGCTGGCCATGGCCTCCTCCTTGGCCCTGGAGTGCAGGGCTTTGGGCAAACTCTCCAGCCATCTCCTGATGCTCCCAAGTGCTCGCTCCGATGCCGTCGGCTGGGCGGCCGGCCTGTGGTCGGCGATGCCCTGTCGGACTGGGGAGAGAGGGCACCGTGAGAGCTTTTCCGGGAGGGGCCGCTCCCCCCTCCAGCTCTCCCCTCCTCCCTCTGGCAGGCAAGGCTGGCAGAGCCAGTCTCCATGGAAACCCATGTCTCCCTCTCTTGCTGCCTCCGGAGAAGGCTCGGGTTTTAAACTATCTTGTGTGACAGTTTCTGCCTTTATCACCTGATCCATGGCCCCCACACCCACTCCTGCTCCAGCCCCAAACGGCCCCCCTTGTCTACAGTGTGAAGGCCAGTCACCCCACCATGGAAACCCAAAGAGGGTGGATGGAGGGCGTCCTGGAGGCTGGCAGTCTTTCCTGTCCAACAGCTGCCCTTCCGACTGGTCAGGGATCCCGAGGGTGGAAGGGGCAGGAAACGCCCGCAGAGCCCCACTCTGGCGCCCGGGGTGGGACCACAGCTCTCCGGTGCCAGTCAACTGCCATTTACATGAAACTGTTTCTCCGGGCAACTCCTTTCCCTGGGTTCCCAGAGTGGCCGGGGCCCCTCTGGCTTCTGTTCTTGGCTGCTCTGTCATTTGCTCTTGGGGGCCTTGGCTTCCCCATCAAACAACTAGAAGTTGGGCAAAATCACAGCTTCTGTCTGCAGCTTTCTGTGGCCCTCAGGGAGCCCGGTAGGATCCCACCTGAACTGGCGAAGGTTCTGATTTTTAGGGCTTTCCCTATAGCTAGGCTTTGGGGCAGTTGTTTCCCGAAACTGCACACAGTAGGTGCTCAAAAAAACAGATGCAGGCTGTTGGCTGTTGGAGGCTGATGTTGGGGGTGGCTGGGTCCTGAGAAGAGAGGAGGCCGGGCAGGTGGAGAAAAGGCGCTTTGGTGAAGGTTATACCAGAGCAAGGACCACCATTCTCCCTGCCTCCTGACACCAGAAGACAGCGGAAACTATGTCAACCTGACCGACTCAACCCTGGTTGCTGAGAGCAAACCTGCTGGGGACCTGGCCTGATGGTCCCCAGCTTCTTGGCCAGACCAGGTGAGGGGGTGGGGTCTTCCCCAGAAAGAGGCGGCTGAAGCTCTGGGACCTTTCCAGGCACCGCCCCGCTTTCACCAATAAGGGAAGATGCTCCCGGCCGTCTCCAGCCCCTGTAGGCCACGTGGGGGCCAGACGTGGGGTCAGCAGGCTGCGGGTGCCGGCTCCAAGGTGCGCAGATGCGGCCGTGGGAACCCTCGGCCGCAGGAAGTCCTTCAGGGGTAGCGAGGCCGGGCCAGCCAGGTTCCTGGTCCAACACTGAGGCTGCGGCCTGGTGCCACCTGCTTCTGGACACTTCGACCAGACCTCGGACCCTCGCTTGGGTCCCTGGAGGTCACCTGACATCCTCTGGAGAGGCCAGCTCAGGCACCCCGCCCGCAGGCTGGCGTCTTGCTCCCAGGCCCCAGGCCCCAGCCTGTGCCCTCCCAGGCCCCAGCTGCACCTTCTAGAGCCCCGGGCCCCGCCCGCCTGCTCACCCGCGCAGCTGCGCTCCCAGTAGCGGAGCGCTGTGTCCTGTAGGGTCTCGTCAGCAAATCGCACTCGGAAGGGGCAGCACCGCCTGCGGTGTCCTGAGCCTTCTCCCGAGAAGCTGTGGGTGAGCGTGGCCTTCAGCTTGGGGGCCTGTGGGCCGTGGGGACTGCGGAAAGAGGCAAGAGCAAGAGGGGAGGGCTGGGCCTGAGGCCCTGGGCCCCACCCACCCGCCAGGCTGGAGCGCGCTGTGGTCCTGCGGGTCCCCGGGCTGGCCTTTCTGAGCACTTCCTGCCCGCCAGGCCCAGGCCCAGGCCCAAGCATGCGGCCTGCAGCACCCACCACGCCGGCATGACTCCGGGACACGATTACTGTTCCCATTTTACAGATGAGGAAACCCAGGCACAGAGCACCCAGGGATGGAAGCAAGGTCTGAGCCTGGTTCCAGAGCAGGCACCCATAGATAAGAGATGAACTCAGGACTCAGGCCGCCCTGGCTTCCATTGTAACCCTTTTGAGCTACGGTTTTCTTTGCTGTTGTTAATCCTTTCCCGAGGATATTTTTTCCATTGATTTTTGGAGAGAGTGGGAGGGAGAAAGAGAGAGAGAGAGAGAGAGAGAGAGATTCATCAATTGGTTGCCTCCCACGAGCCCTGACTGGGGCTGGGGATTGAGCCTGCCACCGAGGTACGTGCCCTTGGCTGGAATTGCACCCACAACCCTTCGGTGCACAGGCTGACACTGTAACCACTGTGCCACACTGGCCAGGGAGGGCTATTTTTTTTTTTTTTTTTTAAAAAAGCTTTTATTGATTTAAGAGAGAGGAAGGGAGAGGGAGAGAGAGAGAGAAACATCAATGATGAGAGAGAGTCATCGATCAGCTGCCTCCTGCAACCCCTCTGCAGGGGATCAAGCCCAAAACCTGGGCCTGTGCCCTGACCAGGAACCTGGCCACTCTGGCCAGGGTGAGCTACGTTTTTTAAATCTGTGCCATGGATCACGGTCATGCCCCCCATCCGGGGCTATGAAGAGGTGAAACAGACCACAAAGCACCCTGCTGCGCCCGAGTGACTGCAAGTTCCTGGGGCGGCAAACGCGTCCCATCTCCGGCACCTACTCTGACCCGTCGGTGGCCTCTGCCCTGAGTACGGTGTCAGAAAGGGCTCTGAGGCTCCACGGCGAAAAGTGCTGTGATCCACGGGCGCTGTCTGCCACGGTCCAGGGTTAGGAGGGGTGGTATGTGTGCCACATATTTACTCTCCGTGGTCTTTGCATGCGTGGGCAGTCCGCCCTCCGCCCGGTTTAAGCTGGAGGACTTTTTTCTGCACCCTTTCCCCCTCCGTTAGAGTGATGGTGTCTAAGCCCAGGGGAGCTCCCACGCCCAGGCCCTTCTCCGACCCCCGTCCCTTATTTAATTCCCCCCCAGTCCTTGACATGCAGCGAAACCTAGTACGCGTTAGAAGAAGAAATGAATGAGCCGTGGGTCAGGCAAAAGGACGGGAGACTGGCGGGCGGGCGGACGGACAGACTGACGGGTGAGTTACTGAAAGGGTCGGAGGGAAGCGCTGGCGCTCAGAGTGGGCAGCTGCGCCAACGGGTAATAGTTATGCGGACGGGTACGTAGACTCGCAGTGGCTTCGTGCTAGGTTAGGGATGGGTAGCACCCCGGATTTATAAGCGGATAGAAGGATTTGTAGACGGTTCACCTACAAGTGGGGTTCATGGGTAGAATTGTGGGGGTTTGTGAAGAGACCAATGGCTGGCTAGGAGGGCGGCGGGTGGACTGAGACGGATTATGACTGCTTCGCAGAAGGCCTGATTCATGGGCGCACACACGGGTGGATGAATAGGTGGACAGACAGGTACATCCAGAGGAAGGAAAGGTGCTCTCCCTCCCCCTGCCTCCCCCCCCCCAGCTCACCTGTTGGCCTTTTTGACCTTGGTGAATTGCGGGTGGTCGCCCCTCAGCGGCCCCAGCGTAGGTAGTTGATGGAGCAAAGTGTTCTCGAGGCTGTTCTGGAAGTCCGATGACTGGCACCTTGAAGAGAAACAGGCCACACACCGGCATGAGTGGCCAGGGTCCCCCACCCTGGGAGCACCGGTGGCAACCCTGTCCCCGCCAGCAGGACACTGACACTTACGGCAGGTCGGGGAAGATGGAGCAGCTGGGACACCGAGGAGAGTGTCCCCACCAGTCCTCTGACACCCCCCTTGGATGTTGCGATTCTGAGGCTGCAGGGAGCCAGGAGGTGGAAATCGTTACGTGCCTTTTGCTTGGGGACGGTCCTTAGGAAGGTCTGCCTGGTTCTAGGGCCTGGGGCCCCGGTGGCCTCCTCCCTACGACAGGGGCAGGGGGAGGCCGCCCCCCAGCGGTGGTCGCGGGAACTCGGCGGGCGCGCAGCTGACAGTAAGTAGCGTCTTCCCCGGAGAGACGCACGCGGGGGCCGGGCCGGGCGTGGCGCAGCGGGGGCGCG